CTTACAAATTTGAATTGATGTAGTAAGTAGAAAATTTGTATTGAAAAATAACACCTAATTACCTTCTGAGAAGGTCTTATATTATCAATGGTTATCCGTATACTGCTTTTCTTGATTTTGTGTGGTAAGGAGGCAATGTTGTGCTTCTTACATGGCCATTGTAAGTTGTTGTATAAACTCTTTTATTATTTTGTTGTTGGTGTCAATAGAATGATAAAGAATTGTTGGCGTAATCATATGTTGATTGATATTAAGAAAGAATAGTGAATGATCGATACTTGCTTGAATACTATCATTGAAAATAAATTCCAAGGACGTCAAATATTCATCCTAATTATTATAATGAACTACTGTGAATGTCTGTAGCATATCCTCCATGGTTTAATTTGCATGCTTTATTTTTTCATCTATTTGAAGATAAAAGGTTGTAGATATGGCAATGTATATATCTAATAGCTTAAACAAAGTCTATTAGAAACTTCTTATGAAGCATGGATTTCAATTTGAAACAATGATATGAGGTAACTCATAGTGATGAAAGACAGTATCAAGGAAGATTTGTACAAGTGTTGGAGTATCAATATCAGAGCATATTGTAGCCAAGTGAAGTTGTTTTTAGTATTATTCTACAAAGACAACAATTGTGATATAATTGTGAGGCATTTATAGCAAATACATAATAAGGTTTATAGTCATCAACTTCCAACATGTCATAGATAATAGAATTAGCTGCAATAGTCAAAGAAATGGTATATTGCATGCTTTACCAGATTGATATGACTCGCAAGAGTGCAAAAAAGCTCAAATATAATGATCTAAACTTACCAAAAATCATAACCTTGGGATCTATTTTAGAATCTTTTCACATCCAAGATATCAAGATATTAGAATGTCATATCCATCTTGAAGTATGTGCATCTAAAGTATAACATTGTTAGATATATAAATTTACTTTTTGAAATAGAACAAGCCATTACTAAGATGATAATCTTCATATTACACATCACCTATCTTCGGCCCATTGATAATCATCTTGAAATAAGCATCTCAATGCGTAGCTTCTTTCTATTCCAATTTTTTGATTAGATTTGAAATAATACTGCTAATAGTAGTAATTTTTTTTCTTGTTTTGTAATTTGGACTTCAAATCTGGTCTGTATAATAAGATGTACAACACAATATATTGTTGTCTTTGCTTATATTCAAGTTGAATGTCAAAGAAGTGCAATTATTCTTTCCAACGATGATGTTGTGATTTCATGTTTTTTAAATATAAATCGTATAGCAAGGATCAATGTTCAGTCTAAACAGTGACTAACTTTTTCAATAGATGGTGTTCCCACACCTTTGTGGTATGTACAATTGTTAATTGCTCTTGATCATGTATATAGTAATTGTGCTCTATTCTTTTGAGCTTGCATGATTTATACATCATAGGTTAAAGGCCCCTATTAAAGTCTTGTTGAAAGACCATGGCAATAGTAAAATCAAAAGCATTAATGTCAAGTGTACAGGGAAGTTTGGAATCATACAATTACAATATTAGAGGAGTAATGAATGCATTCTTCAACTTATCAAAGGCCTTTTTTTTATTCTAATTTCTATTCAAATAAGGCACCTTTCTCCAATAGGCTTATTAGTAAGATAAAAATGTGTATAAATTACCAAACAAAATAATGATAATATCCAATGCAACCTAAAAATGAACAAGCTTTATAAACATTTTTGTAGATTGGCTAATCTTCAACTGCCTTTATCTTATCTTACTCCATATGCATGCCTTTGGAGGACACAATATGCCTCAAAAAGGTGACTTTTAACTTCCAAAGTTCACACTTTAATTTTTTGCAATGGAAATGGCTATCTTGTAGTCAGTATAATATTTTTTGTAGATATTGCTCATGTTCTTCAAAGATTTTACTATAGACTAGGATATCATCAATGAAGACCACTACATACTTATCTAAACAATCTTAAAACAATCTATTTATGTGATCCATGAAAGAAGTTGGAGTATTGGTAAAGCTAAAAAGTAAAATAAGCTATTCAAAATGTCCATAGCACATATAAAAGACCAACTTTTTTATATCCTCTTTTACAATAGATATCTGCCAAAAGTCTCTTCAGAGGTCCAATTTGCTAAAGATGGTTGTATCTCAAAGTTGATCAAAAAGATCATCCATGAATAGAAGTAGATATGCATTCTTATCAATCTACTTATTGAAGCCTACATAATTGATGTAAAGCCAAAGTCCACTATCATTTTTAGATGCAAAGAGTATAGATGCTCTCTATTGTGATATACTTTCTCAAATAAGGTTCTTTTCCAAGAGTTTCTTTAATATCTTTTACAACTCTTCAAGTTCATTTGATGTTAGGTAATAAATTATTCAATTTATCAGTTTGGCCCTAAGTAATAATTCTATTTGGAAGGAGGAACCTTGATCAATTAGACACACTAACCAATTAGTTAGAGACACCAGTCGATTCTTTTAACACTTGTCTGAGGCCATGCCATTTGTGTCTATGAGACAACAACTATTCTTTTAGTAATCCTCAATGCTTTTATTGGGGAGTCTTGTTTTTTTATTCTATTTTATTATCAACTAAATAAATCTCAAGATTGTGAATCTACCTTCATTTTTTGATGCTTGAATTTTGACATTTTGAAGAATTTCTAATTTAGTGGCTTAGCTCCTAATAATAAAAATGTAATTCCTTCTACATCAATATTTTTCATCTCTATGGTGTTAGTGATCTTTGCAGGGCATCAATTTCTATTGGCATTGGTTGTTGTACCATAGTATTAGATAGCGGCATAGAACTTTGTGTTATAGGTCATGCTCCACAATTTTTGAAATCTATAGCATTGACCTTCCCTATAATTCAAATTGTATCATCAAATATTTGTAGATTCCTTAGTTCCACCTCTTATTGGATCATAGGTTTTAATCCTTTTATAAATCGATCCATCATCTCCATCTCTGAAATACTGTCAATTTCGAGACACAAGGACTTAAATCAAGAGACATAATCTTGTACTAACTTGGATTGTATAAGGTTTACCAATCGATCTTATGTTATGTTCTTTGGATTGATGGATCAAAATTGACTCTTAAAATTTGGTCTTAAATTCCTCTCAATCACAAAATCTACTTGAGGCTTCATAGTTTTGAGCTTGATATTGCCACCAAATGGCTGCCACACCTATCAAATAGTTGGTTGCATACATAATTTCTTTGATGATATTTGTCTCAGATGGTTGGAGGTATTCTCGCATGCTAAAGAACCATTGGCATACATCTTCTCGCCTTGAAGTCCAAAGTATGTTTTAGACTTGCTCAATTTCAACCTAGCGAATGTCGACTCCTTTGTCGTACATGCTTCTATTTGTCATTGCAGAGTAGGTATTTAGCCTAGGAGGTGTTGTATTTTAGTCTCCATCTGAGATTGCTTCACTATATCTTCCATGCTGCAATTTCCTTACTAAACTCTATTAATATAATATCTTATCTTTTTTCAATTGACTTCTCAAAAGAATATAAGATGTGACTATAATAATTAACCTCTAACTAGACGATGGCTATCAATACACTACCAAAGAATAGACTACACTCAATCTGATACTAATGAAACAAGATTAGATTATTTCTAAGATCTAAGATCTTTCTAATCTATAGCAATATAAATTTCATCTCTACGTAGGACATTGTAGACCACACCTAAATAGAATGGAACAGGAAATGCAAAACAAAGCAAAAGATAATATACAGAATTGAACAAAAAAATACAAAATCAAACTTTACTAAGAGAAAAGAACCAAAGCCATATTTATTCAGGTACCCAAATGGCCCTAGAGAGTCCTATTTTTACTTTGTCCAACCATCTTGGAACTTTTTCGAATGTCTCTAATAGTGGATTCAACCTAGATAACCACCCTAAGTCCTTTCTAGAATGTTCCATTGTGGATCTTACATAGACTACCATCCTAATCCCAATTCTAAAAACTTGCCAAATATGGCTCCAACTACTTATCCCTATACACCAATAATATGAATATCTTATCTATATCATATTATAAGAAATGACTCTATTGGCTTGTGCTCTCCATAGATTAGTCGCAAGACCTCTATAATATATTAGCTATAGAAGCAATGCTTCTTACTTAATTTGTGGTTTGTACCATATAATATTCTATTTAAAAATATAGTTTTTATTTTCTTTATCATTCCATTTGAGGTAATTAGGTTCCAACTTCATGATTTTTTTGAAGGTGTCAACTAGATTTAGTTGTGTAAGTTGTTATACTAAAAAAAATTCCAATAATATGCTTGTAAGTCATATTATTGGAAGGAAAGTTATTATATTGAAATTTTTCTTTACCACTTTTGCATAACCATTTGTTCCTTTTGTAAGTGACAATAGTGTGTCAAAAAAACTATATTTTGAATTTTTGATAATTTAGAATTTAGCATAAAAAGTCTTGTTTGCTTTCCAACTATTTATAGCTTGATTTTTAAGAATCTAGACATACTAAAGCAATTGGAGAGCACAAGCTAAGTTTGGAAATACTTAGTTAAAAAATATAATTTGGTAATAAGACTTTAATTGAACTATAAAGTCGAATCTGATTGTAGAGGTTTTGAACCATAGCCAAGAATACACTCCCCATATCTTGAACACCTTTTTGTAATATGTTGCCAAAAACCAGTTTCACTTGGAATATAATCTAATCACATGATTTATAATTTATGTTAGATTATTCAAAATTGTACTAATTAGCATGTTTTCCTCTACATCTGATACAATCAGATGAATCCTTACTATTATATATATGTTCGTTACATGGGGCATGACAAAAAGATTTTTTTGCATTTATAAATAGTTAGGATCATTTAATAGTTAGAATGAGTACATACTGTTCTTTAAAACAATAGGTAAGACAAATAAAAAGTCGGTTCATTAAACCAAGACAATCAAAAAACCTTTAGACAGAAGGGTACAGTACAAAATTTTGTACATCAGATGCTATATTGATTTAGGAGCTCTAACAACTGCTCCTTATGAAATTTGACATTTTCAAAAGTTAGAATTTCTATATTGAACATCTTCAAAGATGCACAAGTATCTCTAGATTTCAAATGAGATGAACAGTGCCTCGCACGAGGTTTTTGAGCATGGTGGCAGACGCTCTTGCGAAGAAAGAGACCTAATAAGATTTACATGTTCCACCCAACTCTGTGTCTAAGTACAGAATATTAAAGCATGAAACATCTATTGCACAGTTCTTTGAACTAGTGTAGGTCTTACCTATATATTACAAAGTAGGTCATGACGCAGAACTTAACCCCAAATTTCGTCTACATTTTCTTGCCAAGATGTTGCACTTCAAGATGCGAATCAGTAGTAAAAGCATTTTCTTGAAGGCAAGCTCTCAGTTGATAAAGGCTGAAGTTTTAAGTGTAAGGTACCCCTCATTTGTATGATGAGTGTATTCCCTGCACTTTTTTGGCCAGTGGCCAACCATTACATTAACAAAATGTGGATGAAAGAGCTTTCTCCATCTTCTCTGACTACTAAACTTTCGTCCTCATTACATTCGAACTTTCAATGAGTTTCGAGAACGTCTCAAATTGCAAAACGAAAGCACTTGATGTATTGGTCAGAATCAGCTTCCACCTACTCCTACTTAAAGAATCGGAAATACCAGAGAAGTTCGAACCACGCTTGCTCCCAAGAGAAATCGATGCTCAGAAAAGACGCAGAAACTATGAGATCACTGCACATTACTCAACAAAATCAGTCGCCGGGAGTAAAATGGCGGAACTTTTTCTTATAATATAGTAAATTCATTACAGCACTACAATCTTAATGGCAGAATCAAGGCAAGTGAATGGAAACTTAAGACATTGAAGCTTCTCCACATATTCACGAAAAACACATGCAACTCCATAACTTCGAAATGCTCCTAAAAGGAAATGCTCAAAGGCCGATTCCTAAACGAACTCATCTTCAAGTTCAAGTCCACAAACACCTGTTCCCCAAGCTTCTAGACATAAATAAAATGCGAACTTCGACATCCCCTGCAAGTTAGGAAGGAAGAGACGCGAAAATGACCGCATAAGACAAAATGTACCTTAACCATCACATCAAAACTTATGCGGAAATACTAAAACTAGACTGTAATTAAAGACTAGTACAAAATGCACTATACTACAATGCCTACACCCAAAATATTTACAAAAGAAAAAAGTAAAAAACCAAAGAACAAGACAGAACCTCCAATCAGTACGCCCACACTCCAAAACAGTCCCGTACATTTCGGACTCACAAACGCTTCACACAGTACCAATCATACGTCAACACAACAAGAACAAAGCTGCACAATTGTCTGGACGCCAAAATGTACTCTCAAATAAATAAGAGGATAGCACCACCTCGGCCCTAAATATGTTCAGAATCTACCGATTACCGTATCTCTGGTGATGATGCATACCTTAACCCTGTAGTCCGCTACTTTTACTAAACAACAAGAGTTCTGAAAAAATCGAGTGCTATCAGACAACACTGAGATTTTTAACAAACTACGAAAATACAACGATTCCCTTTTTGACAAAAGAATAAAAGAGGACGATAAAAACAGAAAAAAAATAAGGAAAGAAAAGAAAAGGAAAGACCAGGTCGTATTAAATGCTGCTGTAGCTAAATTTAGTGCTCTGTCCTCTCCTACCAATTCGTCCTACACTACAACTACTGACAGGCCACTCCATTGCCAACCAACCCCACATTTGGCTCAACGCCGCCTGCGCTCCATCTTTTCGGATGATCGTAATGCAGCCAAAACCCTGCCTCCCTTACATGACATCTAGGTCGATACACCTGCACATGTGAACCAACCACACCATCAGAACCGCACCACCACAGACACCCAGCCTGACCGAAACACCATCACCACCACCTCCTACTTAACACGCCGCACGCACGACATGCGATCCCAAACCCACAACATCACTCCACACAAACGCCTACCACGACCCCACGCTCTACCGAACTCCCTCGCCACGGCATACACTGCATTGCACTCTCCTCCAACTTCCACACCTCGCTGCAACTTTCCACCCACTCTCACCTAACGAACGCTACACGCAACGTTCCAAGATACCATGCACTCTGCCACTATCTACGCTACATGTGCAACTCAATCCGGTTTCAACACGTCCTCGGTCCCAAGCGTGCACCAACTTCGCTCGCATTCAACTCAAAACGTTCAATCCTCTGCCCCAAACTTACATTCTAATCTCAACGTGCGTACAAGCATGCCTGTCCACGCCACACATAGCCAACTAGGACTAGTTTCATAAGCGAAGGACCTTATCAACATATGCTGCCTAAGCCTCGTACGCAACCAAATGCAGTGACTAGCCAGTGCGGTCACCAGCGGCAGGGTAGGGCCTGAATCTGGCATCAGGACCTCGCTGTGTCTGTCTGCCTGCCACACCGTATCCTCCCCCGTAGCCTGACGCCACGTTTACTGCTCCGTCCGCGCTAGCGCCTCCGCCCACGCCGAATCCACCTCCCGTCCCTCCTCCCACGGACCCCGTGCCTCCCGAACTGTATGAATCTGTCCCCGACGACCTCCACGTGTTGTCGGCGTATCCCGAATATGCATCTCCGTAACCCCCACCGTAGCTCCCGCTTCCCGCCCCTGCACCCGCCGTCCCGTAACCTCCTGCGCTCGACCCGTACCCGCTACCTCGACCGCCATACCCACCCGTCGATCCGTAGCCTGCGTCGCTGCTTCCGTAACCATACCCCGCACTTCCGTAACCCGAACTCACTGCGGCCCCTGCCCCCGTCCCCGTCGTCCCCCATCCTGCATTGCCGTACCCGCTCATGCTCCCCGTCCCGCTGCCCCCGTACCCAGTCGAGCCCGATCCCGTCCCGTACCCACCACCTCCGCTGCCCCACGCGCTTCTCCCC